CGGAATTTCCATTTAAACTTTAGGGGTCTGAGTAACAAGCTCTGTATGAACTTTACATTGCAACTGTGAGTTAAAATCGGTCAAAGGTCCTGGAACCTAAACTTTAAACACGAAATACTTGAAAACCCTAAACCCCCAAAGCCTAAACTCCGAACCCCTGAGCCCTAAACCCCTAAACACCTAAACCCCTGAACCCTAAACCCTAAACCCTAAACCCTAGTTCGGCCCTTAACCCAAACCCCAAACCCTTATCTTTAAAACGGCTGAACCCTAACCGCCCAAATCTGTGAGGCTCATCCTGCCTCGGACGGCCATATGCGGCGGGAGGCCAGGCGATGATATAGAAACAGTAGCCGAGAAGCTGAGACGGTTTAGGGTTTAGGGTTTAGGCGGTTTAGGGTTGCCAAAACCTGTAAGCAATGGATCGGGAAGAAGGAAGGCTTAGGCTGCAGGCTTTAGGCTTGAGGGCTTAGGGCTTTAGGGGTTTAGGGTTTAGGAGTTCAGGGTTCAGGTTTTAGAACTTTACGGTTTGGGGTTTAAGGCGTCAGGAGTTTAGGGTCAGGGCTGAAGCCCTAATCAGGACGTAGGGTTCAGGGGGATCTAGGGATGAGATACTTATTCAGGTATCGGGTGGAGGAGCCCTAAGACCTACCTATAGTATCCATTGTAGTTCCTTTTTTTGGTTTAACCAATTATTGATTAAGGATTTTATAAGGTATCCCCCAAAAAGGAACTACAATGGAGACTATAGGCAGCTCCCAAAGTTTAGAGATTCGGCTTTACTGGTAAGATGTCAACCCCTAAGAAGGTCTACTCGGTTATGGGGCACATAGGGATTAAAGCTTCGACGACGGGGCATCGCATTTCAGAAGTTCGAGCTCAGGGTGAGGGGATGCCCGGTTTCGGGGTTTAGGGTTTGGGGGTTAGGGGGTTTAGGCTTAGGGTTCGTTTCAGGGTCTAGGGGCATGGGGGCTGTTGAAGCAGGTGCAAACACAGAACCCTTGAGTGGTGTAAGACTTCGGCTTTCGAACTTAGGGTTGTAAAATCATCTATCCCCTAAACCCTAACCCCCAAACCCTATTCTGGCTAACGAGGCCCACATCAAAAAGCTCAACGAAGCGCTCATGAGAAGGCGAGACTTGCCAGGTCCACAAGCCTTTTTGGGTTTAGAGCTTACTTGGAGGGTTATAGTACTTACAAGTCTATAAAATAATAATTTACTAAGTCCCCCGACCCTCCAAGTAGGGTTTAGGGTTTTTTTTTCATAGAGGCGCTTGACGTTTTGGGGTTTTATGCTTGCGGTCTGGGGTTTGTTGTGTAGGCCTTCGGGCTGTAAGGCGCAAGGTCTAGGGCTTCTGGCTTTTAGTTCAGGCTTTGGGGCTGTAGGTCGTAAGTTAGGGTTTAGGGTCTAGGGTTTAGGGACTCAGCCCCGAACGCCCAAACAGTCATACTGCCGTCCGCAAGTCTCCAAACCTCCGGCCATCAATCCATGCCACACGCTTCCAAGCAATCCCGAAGGTTTCGGGTCTGGGGCTTACCCAAAACCCAAAACCCTTAACTGATACAATTGGAAACCCACGTCGTTCGCGTCTCTGGGGCATCTCAGATCGAGGAGCAGTGCCCTGGGGCTCTTGCTGGGAGCTTACGTTTGGGGTTCCGACCCCCGTAAGAAGATAGGATGTAAGGTTAGGGTTTAGGGTTTCGGGTTTAAAGTTTAGGGTTTGACAGGTATGAGCCCCAGGTGGCACAAATCATCTCCGGCAATATGGAACGGTAGCATTCTGGCGATGGCGGCGATGCCGCATTGTGGCTCCACCCTATATAATACAAACTCATGACCCTAAGCCCTAGACCCTAAACCCCTAAAGCCCTAAACCCTAAACCCTAAACACTAAACCCAAAACCCCAAACCCTAAACCGTGGCTCTCGAAAACTAAACTCCTGCCTCCTGACCCTACTGTAGGCCCTAAACCCTCGACCCTAAATTACTAAACCCTAAACCCTTAACCCTAAACCCTGTAATTAGGCCCTGAACCTTCGACCCTGAAGTTGAAACTCTTCAATCTCTTCCCCAAGCCCCAAGGCTCTACCCAGAAGTACCTGGTTTCTGTGTTTTCCTGGTGCTTGGGGTTCGGGCTGCTGAGTATGCAATGAGCACCTTAAACCCTAACCCCCGGAACCCGGGCTTTACGGCTTTATGGTTGTTTTGGGTATTCAAGGCTACTATGGGCGGTGACTCTGGGTTTCATTCACCGACTAGGGGGGACCACTGCCCTTTGTAAGCATTAAAACACGAAAACCTGAAACCCTGACCGCTAAATATTCCCCAACCCGATAATCTCGAAGATTTAGCGTTTGGGTGGGGTTTCGGGGTTTAGGAGGGGCGGGTTGTCAGTGTGTTTCGGGGTTTAGTTTTAGGGTTGGTTTACGTCCACCGATGGTTGGAGTCCTTGAGCGCTACGAACACAACGGAGTGGAGCTAGCTCTTCTTGCAGGGTCTCTGCCATCGGCCAACAGATCCTCAGTGCCTCGAGACTCGCTACTGTTGCGGATATGGTTGTGGTTTGAGGGTTTCAGCTTTGAATTAGTAGTACCAGTAGTAGTCGTCGTGGTAATAGTAGTCGTGGTGGTTGTAGTAGTAGCAGTAGTAGTATCAGCAGCAGCAGTAGTGGTAGCAGTAGCAGCGCACACGACAAAAGGATGGGCTCACAAGCTCAGGTCCTGATCACCGTGACCCCGTAAAGGCCCAAATACCAACCCCTGAAACCCCGAGACCCAACAGCCTGTAAACCCCAGCGTGCCCCATGCAGTCCTTACCCTCGACCCGTAGGACCAGGAAGAGCGGCTTGGGATTTGTTTGTTATAGTAGGCTTATAACTAGGAGCCCGATCAGAAACAGTTGAATTGACTGAGCCACGCCGGATCGACCACAAGGGGTCGAAATGGGCTTAGGGCCACTAGGGTTTTGGCATTTTTGGGTTTAGGTGTTACTTGGGTTTAAGGTTAAAGGCAAGTTTAGGTTTGAGGCTATAGGAGTTGCTAGGCACTGCTAAACGCATTTGCAGCTACGAGGCACTTTGGGTAAGCAGGGCGTCTTCCAAGCTATGCACAAGGCACGTGACACTGCTTGAAGGTTCATGGATACACGGAAGTAAGTTTGCAGGTCACATGGCCAAATTCTGCAGGTTACTACTGCTTCAACGAAGGTTTTAAAAGCGCTGCTTGAGCTACTACCATGAACCCCTAACACACAGCAAACACTACATCTAGACATCTCTTTCACGTCCAGAAATAAGTACTTGCACCCCACCCCTCCCCCCCCCTGTACACCTGCTTATGCTTACTGCTCCCTAAACCCTAAACCCCAAACCTTAAACCCTAAACCCTAAACCTAAAGCACAATGGAGGACCTGAAGTGCACCCCTTCTCATGAACCTTCAAGCAGCTGGCGAGCCTTGAATTTCATGCCACCAAGACAGGGTCGTTGCGAGCGACTCTTTCCGAGAGTTCACGTAACTCAAAGAGGGTTTACTGACTTCCAAGGCTCTTGCAGAGGTTCTGAGGGTTCCAGAAAGCTTTACAATTTGGGGCTTTTTATTGGGTTTAGGGTTTAGGGCTTTTTTTGGGTTTATAATCGGGCCTGTTAGCTTTTCGGGCTTCCAGGGTTTATAGGGTTTCGAGAATCTTGGCAGCGAACTTCCACATTAATGTGCGATGCCCCTTCTCCCAACCCGAAATTACGAAATCCTTGGCCCTCTCCTCGAATCCTAAACCCTAAGCCCTAAACATACACCCTAAACCCTAAACATCGACCCTGAACCCTAAACCCTAAACATAGAACCTAAACCCTTTTCTCTTTCGTCGAACTCCCCTCCGAGTCCTCGAACATCCTGCGGGAACCGAAGACCGGGAGGTCAACTTCCCAATTTCCGCTGCACCCGCACCGCACTCTAGGGTTTAGGGTTTAGGGTTTAGGGTTTAGGGTTTAGGGTTTAGGGTTTAGGGTAGGCCCTCTATAGCCTCTGATTAGGATAGGGCCTTGGGGTATAGCACAGTAAAGCGTAGCATAGTATGAAGTCTAAAGTACAAAGTGTAACGTATTCATTATATAAAGCAAAACGTATAGTCAAAAGTAAAAGTACAATGTATACGGTGTATAGTGTGGTGTATAGTATAGCGTTTAGCATCACTGGTATAGTATATTTTGGTACAGTACTTGCTTCCCCAAGAAGCCAGGGAAATAAAAGGTTAAAGTTTCAGACTACTACTCAGTTGTAAGAACCCAAAAAGCTTAAAGGTTGGGTATTGGAGAAGTTAGAGTATCCCTAAACCCTAAACCCTAAACCCTAAACCCTAAACCCTAAACCCTAAACCCTAAACCCTAAACCGTTATCGCATAGTACAAGCGCGAGAAGCTCGGCTTCGTTCGGGATTCTCTCTGAGGCAGCGACTGCGGTTTCAATCCCAGGGTTTAGGGTTTAGGGGTTAGGGGTTTAGGGTTTAGGGTTTAGGGTTTAGGGTTTAGGTATAGATTGCTGTCCCCTAAACCTGAACGCCCTTAACCCTAGACACCCTGATTCAACCCCAAAGCCTACACACACTAAAGCCGAAACACACCTAAACACCCTAAACCCTAAACACCCTAAGCCCTGAACCCTGAACACCATAAACACCCTAAATTCCTAAACCCTCAGCACCCTAGACCCCAAACCCTAAACACCCAATAAACCCTAAGCACCCCAAACCCTAAACACCCTAAACCCTCAACTTTAGATGCGGTCAGAGACTTCTACGCAGTTTTTCGGTCGTTTAGGTGCCGCCGTGCAGGCCCTGACACTGACGGTTGCAGGGTTTATGGTTTGGGACGACTGGTTTGGGGATTTAGATTTGAGTGGGTGCGAAGCACTCGGCTTTCAGGTATAGGCATGACGAGCTGTGCTGAGTAGATGGTCTAGGGTTTCGGGTTTAGGGTGCAAACACAGTCGAGTGCGAGGTGAGATCTAATGCCCTTGTCCGACGCTTTCAGCAGACCTTGCTTCAGAGCGCATCATCGCCGGGCGTTCGTTCGTCTTCGCCTGCAGCGCAGGTCTTTCGGTACAAGGCTCTTCTATTAAACCCCGAACTAGCAAGTCGGATGCTGAAGCCAACCCCAAACCCTAAGCCCCATAGGTGCCACTTCCCGGTACTTTGCAAGGAATCCCAGGCAAAGAACATCGTCAGCAACCCCTTGGCAGAGGAAGCCCAAGCCCGAAAAGCAAACTTAACGCCACAACTACACCCGGCCTCCACTTTTTCGTCCATCTCCACCAACTCGCCTAGAGCGTCATGTGCGCTGCGACCGTGGTGGATGCGATGACCTAGTTGCCCAACTCGAACTGTTGGGGCTTCACCTATCGGCCTCAATGCTTAGAATAGGGTTCTGGGCCATACTACGGTATATCATACTCAACCCTACACCCCAAACATTAGGGGACAATGAGGGGACACTGACAAACTACGGTATATCATACTGAACCCTACACCCTAAACAATCGGGACAATGAGGGGGCACTGAGAATAGTACGGACTCCTCTAAAAAAATCCGGAGTCCTGTCCTACACTCACACGGAGGGTTGCTGTACGATTTCGGGCTTTTGTGTTGGAGGGGGGGGAGGAGTTAATGGCCTAGGAGGGTTCAGGGATAAGTAGAACAAGGTTTCGGAGCGCATTATAAATTGCAGTCTATTTATAATTCAGAACTAACCGTACTTCAGGAACCGCACTATTACCTTCTCAGGGTTGCTTGCATATTCCTGGGATACCATTTTTTATGAGTTTTTGTCGAAATACAGCCTCAGCCTTGAGGTTCCTGTCAAATAGACTTTAGGGTTTAGGGTTTAGGGTTTAGGGTTTAGAAAATCCCCCAAACCCTATTGTAGAGGCCTTAATAATTTGAATAGGGTTTTGGGGCCCATTATTATACCATAGTGATGATGAGGAACCCCCAAAATAGTGTATGGGTAATTATCAAAGCCCCTATATTTAGTCCATTTTTTCAGGGCCCGATAAAAAAATTCAAAAGGAGCCGCAGTTCTAGCCCGAAGCCCCAAGCAGCGACATCGCGGGCTCCCAGCAGACATGCTCTGGCCAGGTTCAGGGTTCGAGGTGTGTCGCATATCGGAGCCTTAACAGTTGGAAGAGGGCTTTGGGGTATACTAACTGTACTAGAAGTACAAGAAGGAAACTTCAAAAATAGTATAGGTAACTAGTTTGCCCCCTAGATTAAACCCTAAACCCGGGGGATCCGTTCCTGGAGGTCTTCTTTTGCTCCGTGATTTTAGGGCGAACCTGCCGTGCGCAGAGGCCCTGCTACAGGTTTAAGGTTTAGGATAATTAGGGTTTTAGGTTGTGGAGAAACCCTAAACCCTAAACTTAGCCTCCGATAATACGGAACCCTGCACCGCTCAGACTCCAGCGCCACCCCAAGAAACCCTAAACCATAAGCCCCAAACCTTGCATCCAGAGTCCTCCGCACTGAAACCGACGTTTATATCATGCACCTCAAACCCTAAACCCTAAGCGCAAGCCGTAAACCCTAAACCTTAAACCTCTAAACCCTTAACCGTTAATAAAGTCTCGAGGTCGGCACGGTGTTTGCGATGGTGGTGACCTGGTGATACAATCAATCTGGGGTTCGGGCTTATAGGGCTTGATAGGTGGATACACAAGGGCATTCGCGCTCCTTAAGCCTTAAGGGTTCTACAACGGTTTGGGGTGTAGGAGTCTCAGGAAATAACGGACGAATCGCAGGTTTCGGGTGTAGGAGTCTCAGGAAATGACGGACAAATCGCACACTCCCCAGCAGACTAGCCTACACTACAGATACCTATCTTACACCCAACTACCTGGTCCTTCTTATCTTCTAGACTCTAAAAAAATCCCAAAACACCAAAGGGTTCTTTCTGAAACCCGAATTGCCGTTTAGGGTTTGGGGTGTCACAGGCAGCATCAACGAGAATCCCAGGGCCTCGCCCCAAAACTTCGGAAGCAGGTTTAGGGTTTAGGGCTCAAGCATGGAGCTCGCGAGGTTTAGGCTAGCGCTCAAGGGGCGACCGCCCCGCACATGCATGGGTCTCGTGTTGAAAATCGGTTATTTGTAGGGCTCAGTGACTCTAGGCCCCTAACCCCCAACAAAAACAGCAGTAAATAGCCCCCTTAAGCCCAAAAAACCCAAAGGCCTAACATCTAACGGCCGTCCCCTCTCCGTCCTTGGTCTTATATATGGGTAATTCTACAAAATGAGGGTCCCATATCTTGGTACGGCACCTTGATAAACAGGACCTGAATCTAGAGAGCTACCCACATTACAGGTCTTCAGAATCTCGCCTCGGCCCCTAAGCCTAAGCCCCAAAACTTGGGGGAGGGGTTTAGTGTTCAGGATTCAAGGGTGTCTGGCGTGACAGTATTTCGGTTTAGGCTTTAGGGTTTAGGCTTTAGGCTTGTTTCCGAAAAGAGATTGATCTTGCGAGTTGTTGGACCACTAAGGCAAACTACAGCAATCAGGGCACAGTTTCCTGCATGGTAGATGGGCTACGAAACTTACCCTAAATCCTAAACCCTACCTGGACCCCCCCAACGAACCTCTAATTTACCCGAAATGGCCACTAAGAAGGAGTATAAGGGCTCAATTAAAGGGCACTTGGGGTCCCGGCCAAGACCCCTTAATTAAGGAATATACTTTCAACCATCTTAGGGTTCATAGTATTAATTCAAGCATGTAATAAGGTATATTATATTCCTTGTTCAATTAAGGAACAAGCCTTCAACTTTATTGGGGTTCGTACTATAATTTAAGGTATATTCCTTAATTAACGGATTTTGGAGTTTCTGGGGACGGTACAGGTCCTTGCGCAGCAGCCCTCCATCTTGGGCGCTGGCTGTGATGGCGCTTTCTTTTTTCGGAATCCTGGCAGATCTGTGTAGGGCTTAGGGTTTAGAGGATTTAGGGTTTAGGGCTTAGGGCTTAGGGGGTTTAGGGTTTAGTAGGGCTTAGGGAGTTTAGGGTTTAGGGTTTAGGATTCGCAGAATTTCTGGCTACACTCCAAGCCACAGCACATGGATTCAAGCGCCTCGTGCTTTTCGAAATGTCTGTTTTCTGCTACGCCAGCCTTGTCAATCAGACGTCGCAAACAGTACGTAGACGTCAGTAGGGTGTTTAGGGTTTAGGGTGTTTAGGGCTTAGGGTCTTTAGGGTTTAGGTTGTTTAGGGTTCGGGGTTTAGGGTTTAGGGTTCAGGGTTTAGGGAGTCTTTTGGACCTTCGACTCTACCTCTCGACGGTACTATACTGAGTTTGTAAGTTCAGTGTTAATACAGCTTCGGGTCCTCAGTTGCTCCACTACTAGCTCGTGCCCTCGTGCCCATATCCTCGCAGTCAACCCGAAATGATTCAAGCTTAGGGACCAAACTGCCCTCAAACCAAAACAGAGCCGAGAGAATAAGACCCGACGGACCCCTTAAAAAACAAAAAGAGACTTCCAATGAAGGGTTTTAGTAATAATTAGAATAGGGTTTTGGGGCCCAGTATACTGTAATTCTCAGAAGGAACTCCCAAAATAGTACTGATAATTATTAACCCTAAACACCTAAACCCTAAACCCTAAACCGAATTATTTAGGCCCCGAAATTAGGACATACTGCTTGGAGCTTTGGCGTCCCAGGGTTTATAGGGCTTCAGGTTCAGTTCCATTAAACTCCAATCCCTAATCCCTAAACCTTAAACCCTAATCCCTGAACCTTGGGTTTTGGGGGTTTAGGGTTTAGGGTTTACCCTAATCCCTAAACCTTCGGGCTCTAACCCCTAAACCCTAATCCCTAAACCTTAGGGCCCCAAACCCC